GGCTATGAATGTTAGTTCGAACTAACGTCTGTTAGTTCGAACTAACATTGTAGTGTAGACATACCCTGAATGTGCTAGTGATTCCAAGGCCTCATCAGAATCCCAAGATTTAGTGACTCTCAAATGCAGTATTATGCTGTGCCGCTGGGCCTCTCATGTTTTCACAACATTCATTTGTGTAGTGCCCACGTAGGGAGGTAAGCAACTAGTTGCTACCCGCCTCCCCTGCTACCTCTGTGTCAGAGGCAGCAAGGTGTGGGGAGAAGCAGGAGCTGGCTTAAAAGCCAGTTTCACTCAGCACCATCTCACAGTGCAGGGAAGGGGCTGGGGAGGCACAGCTATAGCAGTCCTGGGGTTGGCACGAGCCGGGAATGAACAGGGAGCATGAAATGTAAAGGGAGAAGTGCAGCAGTTGGAAACCAGCTCTTGCTACCCACGGGTGGCTCTTGCTACATTTCAAAGGCAGAAGCGCCGCAGTCAGGACCTGGCATAAGCTCACGCTAGGTTCCTCGCTGCACATCTGCCTTTGAAATGTTGCAAGAACCGTGGGCAGCTCTTACTACATTTCAAAGGCAAAGGCGCAGCGAGGATAGCGAGTGCCCCCCTCTTCCCTTATCAACTAATGGGGTAGTCGATGGGAATTCTCTAGTATAGATCCCTAGTATATACATCCCTAGTATAGATACGCTAATTAATTCACAGAGAATTGGTTCCGCATATACAGAAACCTCTGAATTATTGCAAGTAGGTTACCTGTGACTCTTGTCAGTACTTTATACTTACTCAACATTACAAAATTAAATGCAGGCAGGGCCAGTCAAGCATTACCTGCAAACAAAAGGATATCTAGCCTCTGGTCCTTTTTGGAAGAAAGGTGGGTTTTTTTCCCAATGAGTAGTCTTCAACTACTATTTCTAAATATCCAGCTTTGCTGGGAAGATACAGTTATAATCTATAAGACTTCATGACGAAATTTATAGACTCCCAGCCCCAAGATTCAAGGCAGGAATTCACTGTTGTCTTGGAAGAGGCAAAGACCTCTTTCCAGGTGGCCAGGACTCTCTCCTGGTGACTCTGAATGCAGCTGACTCAGCAGTCAGGACCATGGCCTGTGTGGTCACCATGAGGCATTGTTCTTGGCTCCAGTCCTTGGGGCTTCCTCACAATGTCCAATGATCTATCCAGGACCTTCCCTTCAGAGGTTCCATTCTATTTTTAGAACAAATGAACATGAGGCTTCACGTCCTGAAGGACTCAGTGGCCACTCTTTGATCCTTAGAGCTTAATGCTCCCTCAGCTTCCAAGGCCTTTCTGTCAGAACAAGTCGTCTTTTGCGGAAGAGTTCTTGCGCAAAGACTTCTTGTGCAAAAGCACGTCCACACCTCAAAGCTTTTGCGATGTGCTTTTGCGCAAGAGCGCGTCCACACTCTATGGAAAGCTCTGATTGCCATTAACAGAATGGCCATCAGAGCACCTGTGCTTTTTCAGATAGGCTCTGTTTGTGCAAGAACCCCTGTAGAGTGTCCACACATGCCTTTTTGTACAACAGCTGTAGTGCAAAAAGGAGTAATGCCTCATAAAAGGAGGTTTACCTACACTGCCAAATGCCCTCTGTTCTGCCATTTTACTGCCGATTTACTTGCGCAAACAATTGTTTTTGCACAAAAACCTTGCAGTATAGATGTGGTCTAAATCCATGCCACTCTTTACTGCAGTAGTGGAAAGGATGTGATTCAGCCCAGAGGTTCTCATCATGGATAGCTGCCCTATATTTCCTCTTTCCAGGAGCCATCTTAAACACTCACTCCATGGGAGCCCAGGTTTTGTCACCAGCGTTCCTCCCACAGGTCGCAATCAAAGCCATCTGCAGGGCCTGGTCATCAGTACAGACCTTCACATCTCACTATACCCTCACTCACCAGGCACGGGATGATGCCAATTTCAGGAGAGTGATGATGCTGACAGCATGTCCATGAACTCCAAGCCCAGCTTCTGGGTACTGCTTGTGAGTGACCTAACATAGAATGGGCACGAGAAAGCGTGCGAAGACAAAAAAACGGTTACTCATCTCGCCATAACTGTTGTTCTTTGAGATGTGTTGTTCATGTCCATTCCACAGCCCACTCTCCTTCCCTTCTGTCGAAGGAAAGAAGGACGTGAGACTGACAGCACCACTGATATCAGTGCTTGAGTAGTTCCAAAGGGCGCTAGAGCTGGTTCGAAGGTTACCACTAAGGGAAGTATCTCTGGCAATGCTGTACACACATCTAACCTGGAATGGACATAAGCAACACATCGACTGTGTCTAGACTGGCCAGTTTTTCCAGAAAATCAGCCACTTTTCTGAAAAAACTTGCCAGCTGTCTACACTGGCCGCTTGAATTTCCGCAAAAGCACTGACGATCTCATGTAAGATTGTCAGTGTTCTTGCAGAAATACTATGCTGCTCCCGTTCGGGCAAAAGTCCTTATGCGCAAAACTTTTGCGCAAAAGGGCCAGTGTAGACAGCCCAGATTTGTTTTCCGCAAAAAAGCCCCGATCGCAAAAATGGCGATCGGGGCTTTTTTGCGGAAAAGCGTGTCTAGATTGGCACGGATGCTTTTCCGCAAAAAGTGCTTTTGCGGAACAGCGTCCGTGCCGATCTAGATGCTCTGTTCCGAAAATGCTTTTAATGGAAAACTTTTCCGTTAAAAGCATTTCCGGAAGATCATGCCAGTCTAGACGTAGCCATCCTGAAGAGCAACCGTTACAGAAAAGTAAGTAACCATTTTTTATTAGCTCCAGTGAAAGCCATGTGTAAGATGAGAGTGCTTAGGCTGTGGGATTCTGAAGTGGCATCTTTGGAACTCCATTGTGCCCTCTGACCAGTGATGGAGCACCCTCCGGTAGCAGATGCTTTGAAAGTGGTAACTTAGAAAATCTAAACTCTGAAGTGAAGAAGAAAACAAAACAAAAACAATGTGTGCTTCTTTTACTGTGCAGCCTTCCCTTGGAGTCAAGAAGCCAACTAAAGCTCTGCTGTATGTTATCCTGAGTCCTGTGGGTCCATACTTTGCAAGCGGAAGCTTTAATCCAATATCCTTATGGGCAGATCCCAAATATGTGAGAGCCTGGAAAGGAGGAACGGGGGACTGCAAATTGGGAGGGTAAGAGATCCTGCTTATGCATTAATTACCTAGCTCAACTGGTGGATTATTTTTCATTTCAGTAAAATCATAACTATGATGCTGTATTATTAAATGTAGCTAGTGAACAAATCAAAAATTGTAGCAAAGGCATTTGTAGAATAGTCAAAATGGACTACAAAATGGCATGCTGCCAGTCTGTTCACCTTGCATAATTAAACCTAAGGCCGCTGTTGTTAAGCTGTAGATTGTGGACCACTGGTAGTCCAGAATGCATGGGACTGTGGAACTCTCTCTTCATGATTCCAGCTGCTAAATAGAATTAAAATAAAGATAAATGTTTTCCTAATGTAGTTTCTCCATGTAAGCATTTGCTGTTGTTATAACTTTCAGTAAGTATTCATGAACCAGTTTCTGTGTTAAGTTGCTATATTGTGAAAAGCAGGGGTGGGGAAAAGGGCCTCCATAGGCTTGATGTAGCTCGCCAAGTAGGTTGATCCAGCCTGCGGAGGCTCTGCCGCTCTCCCGCTCCCAAACCAATTAGGGCCAGGGGCGAGGGAAGCGCACGAAGTTTACTCCACCTTGTCAGGATCACGTAGCACTTTGAAGTGCCGCACGCTCCTGGCAGGGCGGAAGGAGACTTAACGTGCTCCCCCGTCCCCAAGCCCTAATTGGCCTGGGGGCAGGAAGAGCATGCAGTTTCCTCCGCCCTACCCCTACCCTGTGAGGAGCATGTTGCACTTTGAAGCGCCGCACGCTCCTCGCAGGGTGGAAGGAGGCTGCGCACACTCCCCCACCTCCAGGCCAATCAGAGCTTGGGGGCAGGGGAGTGCACAAAGCTTCCTCCACCTTTCTCCCGCCCTGCGAGGAGCGTATGGCACTGGCATGGCCCCACCCCTTCCATTTTAGGCCCCATCCCTTTCTGGGAGGCCCCTGCCCAAAAATTATTGCCCACTTCTGGTGAAAAGTTTTGAGAACGAGGTCAAAAGTTTGGAATAAAGGCAATTCCTAAGTGGGAGGAACTAGTGGAAACTTCTGCCCTAACTTATTTTGGGGGAGGAAGGAGTATGTGGAAGTTTGATCTACCTTAGTCCCCACTGAAAGTCAACATTTACCTAGAGTTACCAGATAGAGGTGCCCAAGTGCGGTAATTGTAAGTAAATGTTGAAGTTAAATTCACCCTACTTCAAATCTTTGCACAGTGCTTCATGATTTTTTGCCTCCTTATATCAAAGTATGCAACTTGAGTTTCTAAAATCTGCAGGAATGTGGGTGTGTGAATGTGTGGGGGTGTGTGTGTGTGTGTGTGTGTGCGTGCGCGCACACACACATGTCTGAAACATGCAATTATGAAGAAAACCACAGTTAAAATCAAGAAGTTTAAATCTCTTGTGACTGGATTTCTGTCAGCAAATCTACTGGGTAAAGAAGTTACACATCCAACTCCAGCAACAGGCAGTGAGAGCCAAGGGGAGGGAGCCTGTATGGCTCTGCTGCCGCTGATTGAACTTCTACATAATTTCCTGTTTCTACAGATAAACTAGTTTTATGCCACTTCCATGGGCATATATTTGACATGCTGCAGCTTTCACTGCATAATCTATAATCTGCTTTGCTTGTACAAATGTAATACTGACATGTGACAGTTAGGTCAGGTGTTACATTTGCATCCCAGGATCAGTGTTCCCTGTAAGCTGAGTGCTTGGGCGGCCATCCGGGAGAGATTCAAATGCCGCCCTGCTAATTAGTAGAGCGCTGATGGCAGGTGTTTCTCCTGGTGATACACATCTACTTGGTGCATGTAACAAAACTTATTCCACACATGGATGGGCAAGATTATAGGGAACACTTTCCAAGACCCAGTGAAGGTACCCGACAGCCTTCTACAACTCCCTTAAGCTTTATGTAGGTAGTCCAGAGACCCTGTATCTTGGTAATAAGGGGGAACCCTTTACCTAAGCCCCTCCACTTGTAGTTCATTCAATTAAGTGCTGCCAGTGGAATCATGCTGGGGCAGGCAATGAATTTACAGACCATTTAATCATGAGGCAGTTTTTGCAATCTGAGCACTGAAAACAATGTTAGCCGTTTTTAGAAGTTGGAGAATTGGGAAGTTTTATTGCGGGAAAATACCCAGCTAGACGGTGATAATTCTGTCTTTCTTTCTTTTCCTAAAAGGAATTATGGTTCTTCTATCTATGCCCAACGTGAAGCTGTGGAATTAGGGTGTCAGCAGGTTCTTTGGCTGTATGGAGAGGATCATCAAATCACTGAAGTTGGCACAATGAATCTTTTCCTGTACTGGGAAAACGAAGATGGAGGTATAGTATGTGGCACTAACCCTCAGCTCCTTGCAGTCCTCAGACCTGGGAACTAGTTATGACCCCTGGACTAGTGTTAGTGCTGTATGGATGATGCTTCTTGGTGTCTGTAGGTCTGGCCCAAAGAATGCTTGTTTGGATTGCCTTCTCTTTTTGTTTTAGTGGGAGGAGGGAAGTCACCCCTTAATCATTTCTCACTGGCCCACACAACTTCTTCAGAATTCCTTCCATCAAGGCCCTTCTGAAGATGCCAGGTTTGGGACCTTCCCTCTGATGAGAGGGTAGGTGATCAGAGACTGTGACCTTTTGCTTCTGTAACAGGCTGCAACGGCCCTCTTTAGCTCTTCTGCTTCATCCGAGGTTGGCTTCTGTCATGGGTACCCCATTCATTCCTCAATCATGACCTGTCTCCATAAAGCAATCAGACCTTCCTTTTGAATCATGGTTTTCCCACTAAGCAAGATAGGCTCATATTATCAAGGTAGCAGCTTCTCCTTTCTCCAAGAGGTCCTCTTTTAGAGGATAAAGCGCCAGATCAATCCTTCTACATCTTTAGTTCTGGTAAAGGGCTTTGAAGTTGTAGGACCAGATTTTTAAAGCTGGCTTCAAATTCTTTGCATCTGCAATTATTTGTGGTTGGAAATTTTGCTTTTTAGACAACTAACTGTTTAATTAGAGTCTGCAACCAGATATTTAGATACCTGCATGCCATCATTTGTTCATGCATTTATTTGTGTCCACAAAGCCATGCCTGCTACTAGCTGTTGGTACAGAAGGGTAAGCTGGTTTGAAGGACTATGGGCCTGTTCCAAAGCCCACAACTGTCAACAGAAAGATTCCCATTTGCGTCCCAGGGCTTTGGCTCAGGTTCTAAATGAAGGCAAAGTGCTGTTCCACTATCTGTCAGTCTCAGAAACAAAACAAGAAATTGGGATTCAGGTTCTGATCCAATACAATGCACATTTTCACAAAAAGCCATTTTTCTGCCAGTGCTATTGTGGTATTTAGTAATGGCTTACCATGGAAACAGCCTTGTGTTTTGTTTAGCATATGGGTCTGTGAGTCAAGATACCCGGGTTTTATTTGCAATTAGAGTGCTGATTCCTGGAAAAATCCCTTAATGCTTCAGTCTCAGTTTATACATCTGTAAAATAGGAATAATATAAAAAGCTCTTTAAGATCAAATGAAAGATGTTATGCATGTGATATTATTTAGTATTTCATCATAATGGGTTAGACATTGTGGCCATTAGTCTAAATTCACACCTCATGTGCACTTTCACTGTAGTTACACCAGCAAGGAATTTAGCCCATTTAGCTGAGCAGAAGGACAGAGTGAAAAAGAAGTGGGTTAGTATTCAGTGTTCTCATTGACCGTAACTGTTTTGACTTGCAATCAGGAATAAGCAGGAATTATCCAGCTGCAATACCATACTGTTCCAAAGATCTGCTAACCAATTTGTTACCAGTGTGCTACTGAATAGTATCATTATGACATGGGTGGAACAAACAATCTGTAATTTATGCCATCTAGCCTACTGTATGCCAGTCCTATTCCAAAACAGACCTGCCATTACACACACTATGATCACTTGCATTGCAGGGGCAATTAGCTATCTAACAAAAAGTATTACTAAGTATCTTTGGTAAGACCTAAAACACTTATAGCTAAGAGCCCCATAAAAATGTTATCATAAAGAAAATGCACACCAGTGTATAACTGTATATGCTGTGGCAAAAAGTGACTGCTATTGTGCTCTGTCTCTTCAGAAGGAATTCTACTTACTAGATGGTCCTTGTTTTGTTTGTTTCATTATGCAAATATTGCAGCTGGGGGTGGGAGAGAGATGGAGCATAGAAATAATGAGATTTGGAAATCATGGGTATAGTTTAAGCATCAGGAACATACACCTCCTTGTGTGTTCAGGGAGTAATGTAAATTTTGTGTGCATGTGCTGTGTTTTTTGTGTACTAAGCAATGCCCTTGTAAATGCACTAGATGGAGACTGATTTCAGCAGTGCTTCAAATGAGGGTCTATTTTTACTGCAAGCCATAGATAGGCCTGGTATTGGACAAAAGAAGTGTCCAGTGTTCCAGTCTTGGGCAGACTCTAGAAAATGTCTCATTCATAATGGTGATAGGAGGAGGGAAGAAATGCCCAGTAATTTTTAATAAGTTTGCATGATGCACGTGATGCTAATCCTGTACATTTAGCATTGCTCTGGTTCAGTTTATAATGTGGCTAAAACTGAATCGCTATTGTTACAGGCTTAACTGAGTGCAGTAGTTTCCATTCATGAAATGCTGCTTTCATCAGTGGCATATTTAGAGAGTGACATATGCTCAGGATGATTTCCATGTTTACGAAATGTAAAGCTTGATTACTATGTGATTCTCTAAGCCTACCTTTTCATAGCACATAATGTTGCTGAGAGACAGGCGGCAGAAGTGGAGAGTACATTAAATGTAATGTCTCTCTTATCAAGAGGTTTAACTTGGCGGAGATGAAGGCCTTGAAAATCAAAACAAAAGTCAGTCTAGAAAATACACCATATGGCGGTTGTACTCTATGGAATCTGTTTATATTTTCCAGTATATGGAGGCAGTGTTGAGAATAGTTAGCACAAAGAGTCAAAACACTAAGGTTCTATTTCTGGCTAAACCACTCTGTGATCTTGGGCAAATAGTTATCTTTGTGCCTCAGTTTTTCCATCAATAAAATGGGAGTAATACTTCATAGGAGTGATGGGAGGTTTAATTGCTTAAAATGTTCTTTCAGATCCTCAGACCAGGGCCAGCTCTAGACCACATGGCGCCCATTGGAGGAGTGTCTTCAGTGCCCCCTCCATTTGTTAAACTTTTGAATATCTTATTTTTATTGCATTTATAGGTCATTTCACAACTTTGATGCACAATTTGAATGCATGACTTATCCCTGTTATATAAGATAAATTTGCACATTAGAATATATATGTTTATATTTATTCATGCCATACATAATCAAAGTGCACTTTCACATTTACACAATAAAACAAGATTCACAATATCACAGCAGGGGTCTGACTTCATTTCACTTTGTTCTTATATCTCATTTACTGGCAATGCCTGCCCCTTATATACCTTCAAGGCCATGGCCCACGGTGTTTTAGGAGGTTAGAGGAAAATGTACTTCTCAGAAATTCTGAAAGTTTCCACAAGATTCTACAAAGGTTCGTAACATTCTAGGAGGTTAGTGAAAAAAATAATAAAGGAATACCTGAAACATTTTATTTCAAACATTCTATCTTTGCTTTTGTCTCTAACAACAAAAATAGCACCCTGAGCCTGGTGCCACCCAAGACAGATGGTTGGTTGTGTTACCTACCCCTAAATGTGCCCTCCTCAGATTAAAAGACTTGTAGAAGTTCAAAGTAAAGCTATCATATTGTGAAAATAGAGCTCAATGATTGTTAAAATGGTCATTGATTGTGTTGCAGAAAGTACTATGTGGAGGTGAAGCTTGATGTTTATGCATCACACTGTGTGGGCTGTTAGATGCACAGTGATCCTAAAAGGATGGATTCCTTTTGTAGAGAGTGAGAGAACTTGACGTTTCACGAGGAGTCCGAAGCCTAGTCCGAACTACCTAGTCCGTGCCGCGTGTAGCCGCGCGGCACGGAGTCCGCACTAGCGGACATTTAAAAATGGCGACGCCCGGCTTTATGCAAATGAAGCCCGGGAAATTCAAATCCCGGGCTTCATTTGCAACTCCGGTTGCCTACATTACCCCCCTAGTTCGAACTAGGGTGGTAGTGTAGACATACCCTGAGAAAATTACTGCGCTGGTCATACTGAATTGACCTAACACCTATGTTGGGGAAATTATCAGCCCCGAGTCTGGACAGGGCACTGTGCAGATGATCTTTATAGTCTGTTACTTCAGGAAAAGTTGTGATGTTTGTCAACTAAGCTAAATTATTTGCCTGCATAAATCATGAAAAACTCTGGAAAGCTACCTCAGTACAAATAATATATATAAAAATAAATAAAAGCAGATGAATAGGAAGTTTTCCCACACAGGGCTGTTTTTTCCTATGTGCTAATATCAATCCAGGAGTTTATAGCTTATCATAATGACTTTACTGTGAAAAGAAAAACGGGGTTTGTGAGTTCGTAGTCAGATTTCCCAAAGATGAGCAAGCTGACTGTGTATGGAGCCAGATTTGGCTCCAGATCAGAGGGAGAATGAGCATTTTGGCACACAAGTGATACCAGACAGAGATGATGACATTGTTCTACAAGGGAGGCAGATGCTCCTCTAGGTGACCCCAGGCTGGTAGACATGATATGCATACTTGACAAAAATACATAAAGCAGACAGTACAAAACATTTTGCAGGCTCCCATAGTCTAGCAGCTCCTTGCTGTTCGGCAGCTGGCCTGGCAAGCTTTCAAAATAGTTCACAGCAGTCAAAGTACATGTTTGGATCTTATACACATCCTGTCACAACCCTAGTAAAACCTCTGAAATGGGGAACAGTATCAAGTGTGCCACAGAGTTCAATATTGTGGCCTATATTATTTCTTTTTTTCCCCACTACTGATAAGAGGAGTGAATACATTCAGAGATGATCAAATTTGATTACCCAGAGTTGGTGAGGTAGCAAATGCAAAACACTTAGCAAGTGCGGTATGCATACATTACCCCGCTAGTTCGAACTAGCGGGGTAATGTATGCATACCGCACTTGCTAATGAGGCGTTCCACGAGGCGTACAGATAGTTCGGAATAACTACGTAGTTCGAACTATCTAGCCCGTGCCGCGTGTAGCCGCGCAGCACGGGGTTCAAACAAGCCGGCTTTTAAAAATGGCGGAGCCGGCTTTATGCTAATGAAGCCCGGGAAATTCAAATCCCGGGCTTCATTAGCAAGTGCGGTATGCATACATTACCCCGCTAGTTCGAACTAGCGGGGTAGTGTAGACATACCCTTGTAGATCAGATCAGATGAGTGAATTATTTAATTTAGAATTCTGCCTTATAGTGACCAATAACCAAATGTTTCAGAGGTGCATCATAGTGGACAGTTAGCGAATAACTTGCCCATAATGGATGTTTCCATTTAGTCATTTTCAGTTGTTGGCTGGGTCCAGGCAAAGAGCAGATAGCCCTTGGAGATAGTCATGGGAGAGCTTATTACAGTGGATGGATAGGAAAAAGAAGGGCTAGTGTTTCTCACCCTGGGAGAAAGGATAGAGATAACAACCTACCATCCAGCAGTTGGCCACTGAATCAGGAATGGCTCTGCTGACTCATGGGCACGCCTGACAAACTGCCAACATTGCCTATGTTTACACTGGAGCTGGAAAACAGAAGTGTAACTTTCGTGGCACTGGCAGCAGAATGGACTAGTTGCCCAAATAAGGAAGGATCGTACCTGGGTAGCTAGCTTGTACCGCTACATGCGCTGCATTTATATTTTTAGCTCATAAGTTCCATTAAAATTAGTGCACATATGTCTGCCTGAGCTGGAAATTACACTTCCAGTTCAAAGTGTGGACATATCCCCAGGCTGTGTCTACACTGGCATGAATTTCCGGAAATGCTTAAAACGGAATACTATTCCGTTTTCAGTTTTTCTGGAAAAGGAGCGTCTACATTGACAGGCTGCTTTTCCGGAAAAGCCCCTTTCCGGAAAAGCGTCTGTGGCCAATGTAGACGCGCTTTTCCGGAAAAGAGCCCCGATCGCCATTTTCACGATCGGGGCTTTTTTCCAGAAAAGACTACTGGGCTGTCTACACTGGCCCTTTTCCGGAACAGTGTTCCGGAATAAGGACTTATGCCCGAGCGGGAGCAGAATAGTTTTTCCGGAATAGCGGCTGATTTTGTACAGTAGAGCATCATTGTTTTTCCGGAAATTCAAGGGCCAGTGTAGACAGCTCGCAGCTTATTCCGGAAAAGCGGCTGATTTTCCGGAATAAGTGGCCCAGTGTAGACACAGCCCCAGTGTATAGCCAGACCCTAAATGGATGCTACCTGCATCTGACAGCTATCTGAGGGTGTGTCTAGACTACAGGGTTTTGTCGACAAAAGTGGACTTTTGTCAACAAAACTATACCTGCGTTTACACTACCTCCGAGTTCTGTCGACATAACGTCGACAGAACTTGGCAGTTTTGTTGACGGCGGTAAACCTCATTCTACAAGGAATAACGCCTTTTGTCAACAGAGTTCTGTCGACAGAAGGTGTTACTGCATCTACATTGTCCTTTGCGTCTACACTCTCATGTCGACAAAGCGGCTTGCTTTGTCAACAGAACTCGATGTAGTCTAGACGCTCTTTGTCAACAGAATATTTATGGACAGTATCTGTCAACAAAACCTCTGTCGACAAAAGCCTGTCGTCTAGACGTACCCTGAGAGGTGTCTCCTACTTATATTTTTGGAAGCTTATCATGACAATTTGAATCTGTTGTGTATAACCACTTTTAGAGGAACATCTCAAGTTATGTAGGACAAACAGAAAGCAAAACTCTTTGTCTGAAGTAAAGAACACAGTCTTGAATGGAGGCAGCAAAGTATACAGTGGATGTAAGAACATAAGAATGGCCATATTGTGTCACACCAAAGGTCCATCTAGCCCATTATTCAGTCGTCTGACAATGGGCAATGCCAGGTGCATCAGAGGAAATGAAGAGAACAGGCAATCATTAAGGGATCCACCCTCTGTGTCCCATTCCCTGCTTTAGGCAAACAGAATCTAGGGACACCATCACTGCCATTCTGGCCAATAATCATTGATGGACTTATCCTTTATAAATTTAGGGTCCTTCATAATTCTTATTTGGACTCTGTGCTCCAGGATCCAAAGAACCTTACTGCAGACTCTTCAGCAAACCCAGCC